AAAATAGAGACTTCGAGAATTGTCCACCTAATGGGACCAGCAGTTGGCATAATGGCTGTGTCGCTGGACTCCCATGTAGCCTACCGCAGTTTGAGTCCTGGACCCGGTGGCCTAAACTCACGCCAGGTGCGTGTGCATGTGTGCTCAAGATCCCAAGAGGAAAATGGAGGAGAAGGGATAGTGGCGTGGCCATCCCCCTGGGGGATGATTTCTCACTTTCTGTCTCTCTGTCTCTGTTCTTTTTGGCAAGTGCACATGCCCTATAGCAAAAACCTCTCAAATAAAGGAATTGTCCACTTAAGAGCAGGGTTCTTGTCTCCAGAGACCACCCTCTTCCCCTTCCTTAAGCTCCAAACCAGTGGCTTGAATGGGCAAGCTGATATAACTTCTTGACTGCAGTAGAGTCTTCCGGTCTGGAATTAGCTCCTGTAAAACAGATTATCTGCCTGTGTACACTCTCCAGTAACAGACTTTTTCCCTCTCCCAGTCAGATTCCATCTCCAGAATGGCTGCTTTGGCCATATGAACTGGCTTAGTTCTTTGTGGGGAACATGGAACGCAGGCAGGAAGCATTCTGGCTTATCGGGTTCTGGCGTTCACAGCTTTTAGATCAGTTGCTTACAGTCCTGATTTAGGGTACCAATGCCTTTTTTTTTTTTTTTGAGAGGTTTTTTTTATAGGGGGCATGCGCAGAAAGACAGAGACAGAGAGACAGAAAGCGAGAAATCACCCCCCAGGGGGGATGGCCACGCTGGAAGCCCTTCACCTACATTCTCTTCTTGGGATCTTGGGCATGCACGTACGTGCGCCCGGCGTGAGTTTAAGCCACCAGGTCTGGGACTTGACCCGCAGTTGACTACATGGGAGTCCAGCGACATAGCCATTACTCCAACTGCTGGCCCCAATGCTGTTTTTTGAAAAGGTAAAATATTCTGGACATAAAACAAATCATTAGTTGTTCTTTCAATTGTTTCGCCATTTACCCAATTAGGCCCCGGATTTTAACTGCAATGATCCTACCCATCCCCCTTCATCCCATCCCATCCCTCCCACTCCCCAGTAATAAGCCATATCCAGGAGCTAGATGAGCTAAGCTGTGAAAGTACGGAGTTGACACTGCCGGGTGGACCGCTGTGGGTTGTGATGATGCTTTTTGAAGATCTACAGTATCATTTTGTTCTCCCACACAATTCTGCAAGTTTTGTTCTCAGCAAAGTGCAGCCTTGAAACATTTATCCCTTTCTCTCCACTGGGACGGGTGTGCAAACTACACAGCTTGGAGGGGCTTTAAAGCACTGGGCTGCTGCAAGGTGCAGAGACTACACTGGCTCTTCCAAGGACTCTTCTCTGGCCACCTCTGTGGTGTAGAGACAGCGAGAACTCCTTCCCTCCCCATCCTCCCCATAGTCACAGTCAAATGTGACAGGCTGGTAGTAGGAGACTTAGTTTTTGTCTTTTTTTTTTCTTTGCTGTAGGGCATGTGTGCTCAACAGAGATAGAGAGAGAGAGAGAAAGAGAGAGAGAGAGAGAGAGAGAGAGAAAGCACCTCCCAGGGGAATGACCATGCCACAGTCTCGTCTCCATTCTTCTCTCATAATTGGGGGCACTCAGACACATGCACCTGGCATGTGTCACCCTTTTTGTTACCCTCCGAGGAGTAGGAATGCCACCTTCAGCCTTTCCTTGCAGAAGGATATGACACCTGCAGACACTTGACACTGGCTTCCTTGGCAGGGCCCTGGTCAGCCTCCTTAGCTTTTCACTTTAACAGGACAAGAGCTTTGCTCCAGAGTCTGTAGCCCCACTAAGAGCTCTGGCTTCAAACCCCCGGCACAACCTGGTGGCTCCTAAGATGCTCTTTCTTCTTCAGTTCGGTCTCCTCTCCCTGGCTTCAGGATCAGAATCCGTGTTGCAATTGCTTCCCTGTTTTCTCTGGCTCCTGCAGTTGTAGACACTCAGCAACCAGGACTGGGCACCCCAGGGCCCCCTCTGGCTCTCACGCATCGTCCTCACATGAGAAACTCCGTGACCAGGACCGGGCACCCCAGGGCCCCCTCTGGCTCTCACGCATCGTCCTCACATGAGAAACTTTGTGACCAGGACCGGGCACCCCAGGGTCCCCTCTGGCTCTCATGCATCATCCTCACATGCGAAACTCTCTGACCAGGACCGGGCACCCCAGGGTCTCCTCTGGCTCTCATGCATCATCCTCACATGAGAAACTCTGTGACCAGGACCGGGCACCCCAGGGCCCCCTCTGGCTCTCACGCATTGTCCTCACATGGGAAACTCTCTGACCAGAACCGGGCACCCCAGGGTCCCCTCTGGCTCTCACGCATCATCCTCACATGCGAAACTCCGTGACCAGGACCGGGCACCCCAGGGTCTCCTCTGGCTCTCACGCATCGTCCTCACGTGAGAAACTCTGCGGCCAGGACCGGGCACCCCAGGGTCCCCTCTGGCTCTCATGCATCGTCCTCACATGAGAAAGTCTCTAAGAGATGCTCCCTTTGCCCTTCACCACTGGACAGTCAAGAACCTTTTCCACTACGCAGTCATCTCCCTGCTGGTCTAGCATCTCCTCCACTTCTTGTTTTGTCTATTCTTCATAGAGCCTTGGGGTAGAGGGTGTCTCTGCTCAGAGCAGCTCTCAAATGGCCAAGCAGAACTGGTGCGGTGCGCCTGGCACGGCCCTGCAGGCTGACAGCAGGAGTGGTGTACAGGCAAGCACTGGCGGCCCTGGAGCCTCTCACTGACGAGGCGTACTGCAGGCCCTGCCAACCCAGTGGGAGGCCCTCACACTCAGCTCTGCCCACAGCCTGCACCGCCTCACTTACCATTAACAGTCAAGAGCTCAGTTTGATATTCTTTGTGGCTAAGTTATGACTACAGGTGAGAAATATGCAAAAATGATCAATTTCCTGATCTCTTGTTAGAATCTGGGTTTTCTGATAGTTCAGAAAGCTGTTTAGGGGCCAGCAGGTGGCATAGTGGTTAAGGCGCTGGACTCCCATAGAGCTCACCATGGTTCAAGTCCTGGATCTGGCAGCTTGAAAATCACACTGGGTGCGTATGCAAAGTTATGACTACAGGTGAGAAATATGCAAAAATGATCAATTTCCTGATCTCTTGTTAGAATCTGGGTTTTCTGATAGTTCAGAAAGCTGTTTAGGGGCCAGCAGGTGGCATAGTGGTTAAGGCGCTGGACTCCCATAGAGCTCACCATGGTTCAAGTCCTGGATCTGGCAGCTTGAAAATCACACTAGGTGCGTATGCACCCCAAAATCCCAGGAGAAGAATGGAGGAGAAAGGGTTGTGTCATGGCCACCCTCCTCCCCAGGGGGTGATTTCTCACTCCCCCCTCCACTGTCTCTCCCTCTCTGTCTCTCTTTGGTGAGTGCACATATTCTATGGTAAAACCTTTAAAAAAAAAGCTGCTTATAGATAGTCTTCCCTGGCAAGATAGGAAGAGGTTTTTATGTTCACTATTTACCATAACAAGCTCAGAAGTGAGAAATAATTCCATAAAATTTCACAATAAATATTAAACTTGTTAAATTGTCACATATAAAATAAACCTTCATAAATATGACATGAAGGAAGCCATAGGCATAAAGTGGATTTCATTCCAAAAGCTGTGATCTGAGAATATAAATATGTTTATTCCTTCTTCAATTTATTTCTTTCGAAATGTCATTTTTGTATATAACTTTAGATATTCTTATTTTCATGTTTTTCAAAATTTGAGGCAAGAGATATAATGGAATTAAATTTGTTTTTCATATTTTTATTAAAAATGCTTCTTGGGGGGCAGTTTTTCCTTCATTAATTGTTTTCTGGAATCCCAGCAATAGACATTACTAATGGATGAAGGAACTGGCTCTAAATGGTTTTTAAGTGAAGATTTTATATCTACAAGAGGTCTTTGAGAAGTTTATGGAAAATGTGCATGATAAAGTAACTGTATGGATTGAAAGTTGCTTTCATCAAAATAAACTTGTACTTTAATTCTATTTTCTCACAAGCTTTCGGAAGATCTCTTGTTTATATTCTTATACACTGTGCCTATTTATAGGGCATTTTGAGAATCGTCATAGCTAAACCTAGCTAATGATGAAGCTCGACTGAGCAGGACGGCAACCAGTCTGAAATTAAGTAAGGCTTCTTCTTTTCTTTTCTTTTCTTTTTTTTTTTTTAGAGGTTTTTACTATAGGGTGCGTGTGCTCTCCAGAAAGAGAGAGACAGAGAGACAGAAAGCGAGAAATCCCCCCGTGGGGGCGATGGCCATGCCGCAATCACTTCTCCTCCATTCTCCTCTCGGGGTCTTGGGCACGCACACACATGGGCCCGGCGTGAGTTTAAGCTACCGGGTCCGGGACTCAAACTGTGGTCAACTACATGGCAGTCCAGCGACATAGCCATTACACTAACTGCTCGTCCCTAAAAGTCTGATGCTCTACTGACTGAGCTATCTGGGCTTGCAAGAAAGGCTTCTATGAGAACAGTCTGACTAAGTGAGTCATGGGAAGGTCTGTGTGAGGACTGGTCAGATGAGAAACCAGAAGTGGGTATTTGAAGAAATCAGGATCACTAACTCAGGAGGAAGTCACTGACTTTGATGGCAGTGAGGAATGATGTGCACCTGCTTGTATCTTTTACCTGTAAGTACCAGGACCATGTTGAGCTTTTAAAGACAGCTTGGTGGTCCTTGCTGGCTCTCCCTATAACCAGTTACAGAAACAAGTTCCCTTCTCCAGCCTGTGCCTCTTGTTTCATCGACTGTGAGAAACAGCAGCTGGACTTAGTTTGTTGGTAACACCAGTGCAAGACTGGCTATGCTGTACTGTATTTGTATACTGAAGTTTCTGTATGCCCACCCTACTTATTTTTCTATAAAGTATTTTATTTGTTTTTCATTGCTTTGACTTTATCCATAACAAATAAAAGCTCAATAACAAAATAAGGTGCCCTTTTCAAACAAAATATATCATCACAAAACATTTTGTAAAACTTAGTTTTATTAAGAATTATAAACATAGTATATAGAGGTATGCCACTATGGTTGAACCAAACTATGCTTTTTGTAAGTGGAGTCATTACAAAGTATTTAGGGACTTAGGGGCTGGTAATTCTACTTCATCAAACTGAACATTATGGTAAATATTACAATGTAATTCTAGGGGCACCTCTGTGTTTAGATAATTATAAAAAGGCATATTTCCTGAAATACTAATTTATGTTGGCAAATAGCTTTTCACCAAGAAATACAATGATTATTCTTAAAGCTAGTCACTGGAAAATGTGTTCTTCCTTTACACTTCCCCATTTCTTTTACAATCTAATCAAGTGTGTGTGCCGTGCAAGGAGCCGACCACAAAACATAGGTCAAGGTAACTTACAACAGACATTTAAAAGAATTATTTACAGTCGTATCCCCCCAAAAAGTATTAAATGAATATTGCTTTGGAAATACACTTACCATATCTTTATATGCTATGTTCTAAGTGGTAGCAAATGTTTAAAACTGTGCACAGGATCCCAGGAGGAGAATGAAGGAGAAGGGATTGTGGTGTGGCCATCCCCCCTTAGAGTGTGATTTCTCACTTTCCCTCTCACTGTCTCTCTCTGGTAAGTGCACAACCCCTATGGCAAAAACCAAAACCAAAAACAAACCTCTTTTAAAAGCATCTCTATTCCAACACAGAGACCTAAATATATGTTTTTTGAAATATATAATTACAGGCTTAGGAAGTGTAAATTAAAACGTTAATATTGCTATTAAGACCCTGCTAATTCCCAGGTACTCATTAGACTCTCAGTGTTTATAAGTGCTCTTTATCTTCACCAGATCTTCTTCTGTGTATTTCTGGGACAGATCTATAACCTCAGAGGAGCAAAGTGTAAAAGGGAAGCTCCAGGTCACCATCACACAGCACAGAGCTCCCACTTAGATCTCAAAACGTCAGGACAGTTCGAATGCTGGAATGTAAAAAGAGAGCTTTTAGTGATTTCTTTCCATATCATTTGAACAACAAATAGCTTGAGCATTTGCCTTTCTGTCTGTAATAGAAACTTCAGTAAGTTCTGTGATTGGACATTCTACTGGGCCCGAGGGCCTCACCAGTTAATTTTCGTGTGTCTCTCTGGGCAGAGTACTAAATAAGCTGCACCTGGAAGCATCAGTGAAATTGCAATCAGCTGACAAGAATAAAGGGGTCTTCCGATTGAAGAGAAAGCATGAATAAAGCTGGAAAAGTGTGGACAGAAAAGGCCATCCCGTGTGCTTAGACTTCTGTAGATCTTCAAAGAGCATCCTCACAACCCTCACTGTTCCCTTGGGTGCTGGTGCAGAAGCTGTAGTGGAGTGGGTGACCGTGGGCAATGGGACAGTAAGGCGCTAGAGGAGATGCCAGGGCTTACAGCATCACAGTGCTTAGTATCATTCCATGTGTGTTAGGCAAGAGCGACACGCCAGACATGATGTTACAGCTACTAGGCTATAAAAGCAGAATACATGGCATTGTTTGCTGAGATAAGATATACTACCGGGAAAATTGTGTTGGGTGAAGTTGATGGAAGTGAGACTTTCAAGTGGAGCTATGCAGGAAGTGGGTGGAAACTGAATTGCTAAGGTTTAGAAATGTCCTTTTGGAAGCATTAAGGTGATAGGAGAAGCAAAATTACTGAGAAGCAATTTATGTTTCTTCGGAAAACCATTAGTCATTATTTTCAAACTGGTCATATTAAGCTGTTAGTTTTGCTTGTATGAGTAGAGGGGTATTAGGTGGTTCCGACATTTCTCTAACAAAAAATGTTTTCTTGTTTAAAATTAGTTTAAATGTGTGTTCATAATACAACGATCCTGTAGACTAGGCCAGATGTGGAGATGAGACACAACACTGGAAAAGCACTCCAGGGAAAATCAGTGGAAATTTGGATCTCGGATTGATGTATAGCTTCTTTCAAGAATAAAATTCAAATCCTTGGTACATGGTGGATGCTCAATAAATTTTTTTAGGACTGGGCCTGTAGTCTAGTGGTTAAGAGAATCGGATCCCACCTTGCTCACCCTGCAGTTTGAATCCCAGGCCCTGGCAGCTTAAAAAATATTATGTTATTGGGAAAGTCATGACATAATTTTCTGTGTTTTTCTATGCAAAAATGCGTCATGACTTTTCCAATGACCCAGTAGCACAGGTAAATGTGTGTGTATGCCCCAAATCCTGAGAAACAGACAAGAAAAGATTGTGCTGTGACCACACCCCACTAGGGGTTGATTTGTCCCTCTCCATTTTTCTGTCTTCTGTTTCTCTCTGTTGAACACACATGCCCTCTGGCAACTAATAATAATAATTTAAATAAAATAAAAAATATTTATAGAGTCCACAAATGAAATTCCATTTTATCTTATAACAGGCTCTTTGCTGTTCCAGGCCTCCTTGAGGCAGATACTGGGTAGCTGAAATTTATGTGACTTCTTTGTACTCTGTCTCCACTTCTTCTAAATTCTTAGAAGCAACCAGAGTGGTGATAAGAACACCCGTGTTTATCCAGTTTGCCAGGCTGTCAGGAGCGTGGCGTGTGCTGAAGAGAACACGGGCCCTGCGCTGAGTCTGCAGCCTGGAGCTGCCCCTACATGGTCTGACGAGCTATTTATTTGTCCCTCACAACCTCTGCTTCTTCACCTAAGAACAGTCAGGATAGTACCTGACCCGCAAGGGTCAGAAGAAAGCGCACTTGGACCAGCAGTTGGTGTAATGGCTATGTCACTGGACTCCCATGTAGTCAACAGTGGTTCGAGTCCCAGACCTGGTGGCTTAAACTCATGCTGGGCGTATGTGTGCATGCTCAAGATCCTAAGAGGAGAATGGAGGAGAAGGGATTGCGGTGTGGCCATCTCCCCCGGGGGCGATTTCTCGCTTTCTGTCTCTCTCTGTCTTTCTGGTGACTGCATGCATCCGATAGCAAAAAAATATAAATAAGAAGAAAGCACACCTGGGAAAGCAGTCTGAAAACTGGAACAGGAGGAGGAGACTTCGTAGTATTATGTGACAAATATCTACCAGCTTTGCGGTGAAATAAAAATAATCAAGATGAAATCAATCTGTTGTAAATTTTTTAGTCCAGAGGATTTTTAAAAAATTGGTAAATATAGTACAATGATAGCCTCACTCTGTGAAGAAGTATATTAATCTGACTAGACTAAATAATCAAAAGTAAAATATGAAGGCGATAGGCACATTTATAAGTACTAACTTTTAAAAAAAATAATTATCTTATTTTAACTTTATTTATTCATTTTTAATTTCACCAGAGAGTGAGAGTGAGAAAGAGGGAAAATAAGAAAGAAAGCCACCAGGTCCAGAACTCAAACCACAGTCAGCCATGTGGGAGTCCAGCACCCTTAACCACCAAGCCACCTGTTGGCCTCTATAAATACTAACTTTTAAAAGTAGCCTGTGGAAGATGATAAGAGCACCATAAAAAACAGATGCATTTGGATTGGCCCTGTGGCTTGGTGGTTAAGGGAGCCAGGTCCCACATAACTGCCCATACAGTTCAAATCTCCGCTCTAGCGGCTTGAAGAACACACCAGGAGTGTGTGTATGCCCAAATCCTGACAGGATGGAGAGATGGAGGAGAAGGGGCTTGTGTGGCTGTGCCCTACTGGGAGGTGCTTGCTCCTTCTCCCTTTATTTCTCTCTTGCTCCAACACCCTCTCTCTTATAGTGCATGCACCCTGTTAGAAAATTAAAACACAAAGCCATAAAACAGATACCTTTGCCCTGAATAGAGCAGTTGAAATCCTTCATTGATATTTTTGAAAGGTAATACATGGGTGATCAGCTGGTCCAGGTCAAATTTCTTTGCCAGGAAGTCAGTCACTAGTGTGGGGACATCATCTCTGCTTTTCCAGCCTATAAATAAGCACACATTATCTCCCTTGACTTTACCAAATAATCATTACATTTCATTTTCTTCCCCTTCTCTCACCGGCCTTACTGCTGTTCCCTGTGCAGGGTCAGTCCCAAGCACATAAGCAAGCTGTGTATCTTCCATATTAAGAAACAAAGGACAGAAAACCCTCTCTTAACCCCAACATCTTCCAGCTACTCCATGCCTTTGGTCCTGTTACAGAAAAACCACTTTACAGAAATAATTGTCTTCAATTCACTTCTGGTTCCAGTTCTCTTCGTCTTATTCTTATGAAAGCCTACTCCAGGGCTTAGCTCTGAATTGAGGTGAGGAGTGGCTAACAACTATCTTTCCTGTTATCGTTGTCACAATTCTAGTTTAAACCACTTCATAGCCATCCGTGAAAGAAAGACCTTTTAAGGGAGATGTGATAAGGCAATAGGCTTCTCTCACTTGCTTCGCCTAGGAGACAAAGCCACTACTCCCAGGCCAGAAGCTCCACTGTCCTCACCTCCAAAGACGCATCCCTTCCATGTGCGTCCAGTGAAGAGCAGCATTGGGTCATAGGTGAGCAGCTTGGCTGATGGAGGCGCACCCACCACCACACTGGTCCCATAGTTCATGTGGCAGGAGGCGAGGGCATCAACCTGAGTTTATAAAATGAAAGGGGGAAGAAACCGTAACATTGGAATGGTTCTTTTCCTTTGGATGTCTTCCATATTTCTCTCAGGAGTCACCTTGTGATGCTTGGCTTGCTAAAGTTCAAGAAATAGAATCATCTTGCCCCACCCCCCACATTCACATATGCAAGGAAGAGAACCCTTAAAATAATTTATCTGGAAGGGTTGCTTGTCTTGCACTCTAACTCCATGAGAGTGGTCAGGTAGACGGCTCCTAAGCTTTTGACACGTTAAGCAAAATTGCTATATGATTACCAGTTTTTGCCAGAGTAACGTATTTCTATAGGCGATCATTAAAAAAGCTGTGGAAGATGAATTTGACCTTGTGTGTACCTAATTTCTGGGTATGTTATGGCTCCCTGACTCTTGGATCTTACCATGGTTTCGAGACGCCCAATAACTTCAAAAGAGAACCCCACAGTGTTGCCTGTCATTTCTGACAGCACCTCACTGATGGGCTTGGTGTAGTCCTTGGGGCTAATACACTCGGTGGCCCCAACAGTCATGGCCTTCTGAAATTTGTCTTTGTTGAGGTCAATCCCAATGATCCTGGATGCACCAGCTGCCTTACAGCCCATGATGACTGACAGGCCAACTCCTCCCAGGCCGAAGACAACACAGGTAGAACCAGGTGTGACCTGTAGAGAGAAAAGACCCTATCAATGTCTGTGGCAAGGTCAAAGAGCAAAGTCTGCAAAGTACTTCCATATGAGGAACACAAATCTCAGAGTATCGCTACCCATAGGTAGGACTGGGTGACTCACTCTGTTAATAATACTACAAAGAGGCCTAGAAACAGCAGAAGGTCTAAGAAGAGAAGGAATATTTGCCCAAACAAAACCAGTGTTTACTAAATCAATGAAAACCCTTCATAAAAGGCTACCTCATCCAGGCCTTTGTTGGAGCGCTCGCTCGCTGCCCTCTACACCGCCATCATTCCACCCTCACTGCACAGCAGGAGTGAGTAAGCACTGAAATCTCTATTGTCTCTCCTCCTCAAAGCCAAGCTAAATCTGTTTTAAGTTTGGTCTAACATGTTCTAAACAACCAGATCTCTGAGTCATTAGTAAGTAAATTGTTTTCTCATCAAAGTCTAACTTCCATGTTGCAATTAGATGACGCATGTGTAGCCCAAAAAAGAAAATGTAGTTAAGTAAATTTGGGGATTTTTGCCCTACTGTGTAACCCAATTTTACATTAGGTATCAGGGAGAATTGAACCCAGGAAAACCCATGGGATGGATGTGGCCTTTATTGTGACAGTATCTTTTCTTTCCTCCTCCTCCTCCTTCTTCTTTTTTTTTTTTTTAAATTTAAAGGTTGGGGTGGCCCAGGCCCTTTTTAGACCTCTGGATGATTTGGCATTTCCTTCCTTGCAGGTTTTCCTTTGGATGTCTTCCATATTTCTCTCAGGAGTCACCTTGTGATGCTTGGCTTGCTAAAGTTCAAGAAATAGAATCATCTTGCCCCACCCCCCACATTCACATATGCAAGGAAGAGAACCCTTAAAATAATTTATCTGGAAGGGTTGCTTGTCTTGCACTCTAACTCCATGAGAGTGGTCAGGTAGACGGCTCCTAAGCTTTTGACACGTTAAGCAAAATTGCTATATGATTACCAGTTTTTGCCAGAGTAACGTATTTCTATAGGCGATCATTAAAAAAGCTGTGGAAGATGAATTTGACCTTGTGTGTACCTAATTTCTGGGTATGTTATGGCTCCCTGACTCTTGGATCTTACCATGGTTTCGAGACGCCCAATAACTTCAAAAGAGAACCCCACAGTGTTGCCTGTCATTTCTGACAGCACCTCACTGATGGGCTTGGTGTAGTCCTTGGGGCTAATACACTCGGTGGCCCCAACAGTCATGGCCTTCTGAAATTTGTCTTTGTTGAGGTCAATCCCAATGATCCTGGATGCACCAGCTGCCTTACAGCCCATGATGACTGACAGGCCAACTCCTCCCAGGCCGAAGACAACACAGGTAGAACCAGGTGTGACCTGTAGAGAGAAAAGACCCTATCAATGTCTGTGGCAAGGTCAAAGAGCAAAGTCTGCAAAGTACTTCCATATGAGGAACACAAATCTCAGAGTATCGCTACCCATAGGTAGGACTGGGTGACTCACTCTGTTAATAATACTACAAAGAGGCCTAGAAACAGCAGAAGGTCTAAGAAGAGAAGGAATATTTGCCCAAACAAAACCAGTGTTTACTAAATCAATGAAAACCCTTCATAAAAGGCTACCTCATCCAGGCCTTTGTTGGAGCGCTCGCTCGCTGCCCTCTACACCGCCATCATTCCACCCTCACTGCACAGCAGGAGTGAGTAAGCACTGAAATCTCTATTGTCTCTCCTCCTCAAAGCCAAGCTAAATCTGTTTTAAGTTTGGTCTAACATGTTCTAAACAACCAGATCTCTGAGTCATTAGTAAGTAAATTGTTTTCTCATCAAAGTCTAACTTCCATGTTGCAATTAGATGACGCATGTGTAGCCCAAAAAAGAAAATGTAGTTAAGTAAATTTGGGGATTTTTGCCCTACTGTGTAACCCAATTTTACATTAGGTATCAGGGAGAATTGAACCCAGGAAAACCCATGGGATGGATGTGGCCTTTATTGTGACAGTATCTTTTCTTTCCTCCTCCTCCTCCTTCTTCTTTTTTTTTTTTTAAATGTAAAGGCTGTGGGTGACCAGGCCCATTTTCAGACCTCTGATGTATTGGCTATGTCCTTCCTTGCAGGAATTGCCTAAAGAAATAGTTGCTGCTGGGTCAGGTGGTGGTGCAGCAGCAACGCAACCGGGACCACATAAGAAAGGTCCTGGGCTTGCTTCCTGGGACCTCACACAGCATGGCATGATTCAGGCGTGCTGACACTGGGGTGGATCATGGCGTGATTCAGGCGTGCTGACACTGGGATGGATCATGGCGTGAAGACCTGGCTGGGAGTGCTTGCCTCTGTCTCTCTCTCATGGAAGAAATAAATAAACTTATATAAAAATTATCTTTGCGTGTATACATAAGTATATGGCTTGTATCTGCACCTGTAAGCAGAGATTTACAGAGAAATGCAGAATTTTTGTGTTCACTCTCTGTGACTTGATTTTAGTAATGATATCCTCATGCCTCAGTTCATTTCTTGCATTTGGAGCTTTGAAATCAATGCAATCATTTTAAGTATCATTAGGTCATTCATTCAAAAGCTTTACTGATGGGTTCCTTAATGGTCAGTATCTTACACCAGAAACTCAATTGAGTATTTCTTGC